GCTGAGAGAGTGGAGAGAGGAAGCAGCCCAGGGCAGGGCAACTGGTTGAAGCCTGCGGGCTGACGTGTTTCGGCTAAGAGCCCCGTCAGCCGGACAGGACTGAAAGCAGTCCCTGCCCTTAGGGCCCTGGGCTGGGGCCCATGAGTAAGGGTGGACCCGGGCCCCCCTCTCCTCATTGCCAACAGTTGCCAGTACTGGCAACAAGGAATTCGAGAACTGACGCCCCTTGAGTGGGACCGTTGATGATAACGGCAATCGCCGTGACAGGAGTGATTGCCAGAGCTCTGTGAGTAGGACCCAAAAAGGAAGACTGACTAGACGAGGGATTGAAGAGTGATCTTGCACCCCAGCAGTGTCTGGTCACACTGTCGTTTATGACAGTGTAAATGTCATTATTTGAGTTTTGTGCCAAGTAAATAAAAGCAGAATTAAAAATATATTCAATAAATGAACAGTCTGATTTCCCCTCTTACTTACATCAATGTAAATCAGCAGCAGCATTATTGAAATCACTGGATGTAGATTGGTGTAAAACTGATGTAACTGAAGGCGAATTAAGTCTATACACCATATTAACACATTCATTAACAAGAAAAACAGAAATAAAAAACACTACACGTGTACAATATAATCCAGTTACTACAGCAAATGAGACCTTCACTTTTGTACTGTATAATTTGCTTCCTTTCTACTGTGAAGTATTAATATTGCAGTAATGTTGGGAAGGATTCTATCTATTGCCATTTTGTTTGTGAAGCACTTTGGAAGACATGGAGATAAAAGAGCCATCTAAATGCAAGTTTGTTATTGTTGAAGAGACTTATTCCCTGACCCATTTTGTATCTCAGCTAATGCTTGTTTTACGGAATCTGGACTGTGTACCTCATCTGAAGTTTAATCTAGATTCTTATCTGTCCTCACCTTCCAGCTCTGTAATTTTCTGTTCACTGATAAGGTTTTATATGTCTGATACTGATTTGAGCCTCTCTTGCTTATGTTATGAACTCTGAGCAGAACAGAAGTACCCAAGCCACTGACTAGTGAATCGGGCATTACTCTGGATCCAGTCTCATATTTGGAATATTAATTATTAATTATTAGTAATTGTATTGATTTGACTGTATTTAATTAATAATTAAATAGAAAAATTTGTTCGGGACGGTCACTGGGAGTTTTCATACACAGAATTAAGGACAGGGTCACTTGCTGCCAAAGAGAGGGCTGCTTTAACACATAGTGCCACAAAGGAGCAGTTGTTGGAGGTTTAAAAAAAGGAGGGGTGGGGGATTTGGCATGTCCTGGGTGGTTAGTACAGGGAAAGGAAGACAGGAGTTCTAACGGTCTAATTCATCTATTGATGTGATTCTGTGATCCTGATCAATGGTAGTATTAGAGGAGTGAAGCCTGAAACAAATAACATACATAGCTCTTTGCAAATGTACTTTGGTAGGCAAGCATGTTCTACCATATTCTGTGATAGTAGTATTCAAGTGACTGTACCTGATATGCAACCATTAATTGTCTTGTGATAAAAGGAATAAATGACAGTAATAAATGTTTTTGTTATTGAAACACTTATTACTGGCTAGAAATACATATTAATGTTTGTAGCCACATTCTATTTGGCTATTCTCTGGTAGATACAATCATAGGTATATATGGGGGAAAAAATTGCACAGAATTCATATGATCCACTTCTGTACTATATCTGACATTTAAATGAAATTGCTAAAATATCTAATAATGCAGATTACAATGATGAAATATTAGCTGCACAGCAATAAAAATATTTGAAAGCAAATATTGCATTCTAAATTGCAACCTTATGATACTAAAACAATTGCTCACATTTTGGAGTGTTATGCTTCCATTACCGGGAACTTTGCTCCTAGATCAAATATAAAGCAGTTTCTGGATCTGACATTGTCACAAAATTAATTTGAGATGCTTTGATTTTACTGTGACAATACATGGATTTTGTAATATACTGTATTATGGATGCATTGTTCCAAATGATGGGATAAATTTTTGCCACTGCAGATATCATTCTAAGAAATAACAATTTACAGGGGAAAAATCTGACATAAGGACACTCAAAGGGCCAGTATTCTGTTTCTTTTGCCTTTCGGAGTCAGACAGCGAGAGTTCTGTTTGTAATTTCAGGAGTAAACTTTTTAACAAGCAATCTTATCAGGGGTTATAATGTCTTATTGAGCAGATCTTTGACTACATTTCAGGCCAGAAGGTAATATGGATTATTTCCAGTTATTTTTTTAAACAATTTTTTTTATTTCAGAAGGTGGAGAAAGCTCCTTGGGGGTTGGGAGGATGGGTGTTCTAGATATGATTTTAGCAAATAGGAAGGAACTGGTTGAAAATTTGAAAGTGGAAGGCAGCATGTGCAAAAGTGATCAGGAAATGATGTGTTCATGGAATCATAGAATACCAGGACTGGACGGGACCTCAAGAGTCCCCTGCCCTCATGGCAGGACCAAGTACTGACTAGACCATCCCTGATAGGCATTTATCTATCCTGCTCTTAAATATCTCCAGAGATGGAGATTCCACAACCTCCCTGGGCAATTTATTCCAGTGTTTGACCACCCTAACAGTTAGGAACTTTTTCCTAATGTCCAATCTAAACCTCCCCTGCTGCAGTTTAAGCCAATTGCTTCTTATCCTATCATCAGAGGCCAAGATGAACAAGTTTTCTTCCTCCTCCTCATGACACCCTTTTAGATACCTGAAAACGGCTCTCATGTTCCCCCTCAATCTTCTCTTTTCTAAACTAAACAAACCCAATTCTTTCAGCCTTCCTTCATAAGTCATGTTCTCTAGACCTTTAATCATTCTCGTTGCTCTTCTCTGGACCCTCTCCAATTTCTCCACATCTTTCTTGAAATGCGGTGCCCAGAACTGGACACAATACTCCAACTGAGGCCTAACCAACGCAGAGCAGAGCAGAAGAATGACTACTCATGTCTTGCTCACAACACCTGTGAATGCATCCCAGAATCATGTTTGCTTTCATGATTCTAAGCAATAGTAGGAGGAAGAATAGCAAAATAAAGACATTGAATTTCAAGAAGGAAGACTTTAGCAAACTCAGGGGGTGCATCTACATTGCACCCATAGCTCAAAATAAGCTACACAATTTGAGCTAAACAAATTGCATAGCTTATTTTGAGTTAATTTTAAAATAGCGCTTATTTTAACTAAAATCACTATTCCAAATGTCCCTTACTCCTCATGGAATGAGGATTGCAGGGACGTCAGAATTGCAAGCCTGTTATATTTCAAAATAACGGGTTTGTTTCGAAGACACAGAATAGCTATTTCCAGTATCCCGAAATAGCCCTGCAATGTAAACATGGCCAGGGAGTTGGTAGGTAAAGTCCCATTGGAAGTGTGTCTAGGAGGAAAAATAATTGAAGACAATTGGCAGTTTTCTAAAGAGACTTTATTAATGGTACAAGAGCAAAATTATTGCACTGTGTAGAAAAGATAGGAAATATTCAGGGTTGAAAGTAACCTATGTTTCCTACAGGTACTATTGTGTCGCACCCCTCTGGTGGAGTGTGGAGGACTCAGGGCAGGAGGGGATGGGGGATAGTAGGAGTCAAGGCAGGAGCTTGGAGGTGAGGAGGAGCTCAGGGCAGAGGTCTGGGTTGGGAGCTGGGAGGCTCAGAGTAGGGGGAAGATGGGGTGCAGGACTCAGGATAGGGTGCTGAGGGAGCAGAGGGGTGTATGCAGGGGCAAGTGTGCCATTTTGGAGGGGTGGGGGGACTGCAGCCACATTTACCCGCTCACTCTTGCTTTTGTTTTTCTTGCTTCCTGTGACTACATGCAAGGGAAAGTGCAGAGCCCGCTGTGTTCCTCCTCTGCCCCTCCCCTGGGGACTGGACTCGATGATATCTCTAGTTTCCTTCCATTTCTAGTATTCTATGATTTTAGTGAGTGGTATTGTTGAGCTGATTATTTCACCCAAGATCCTGAACCAGTACACTGAAGATATGATGGGAATGTTTTCACTGTCTTCGCTGAGGGTTGGATGCGGCTCATAGTTCCTTCACTGTTCTGCTTGTCTGCATCTCATATGAGAGGCTATATTAAACTTTCATCCATACTGGCGATCCCTCCAGGACTGGGTTAAGGCACTTGGATGTGGCAGTGTGGAGAATTATTTTACTTGTGCTGTACTTACCTTGTGGTTACATGGAAAATTTCCTTCTCCATGAATCAGGACTCCTAACATGGCATCTTTCCCAAGTGCTTAATTCATGTAAATAACTTTTTAAAGATGTATGTCTTTTAAACAAGAAAAATATTATAATGCAGAACCATACTATTTCCCTCTTGTGTCTAAACTAGCTTACAAACTCCCCTACAACAATGCACTGCTCTGACAGAAGATTTAAGTTATAAATGTAAAGTAAGATAATCCTTTGCTAGATATCAGACTGCAGCACAGTACAGAGAAACCTCTCCTTCTAATCACTGATATTCCCACAACTGACAGTATGTAGAAATAACCAGAGCTTCTTAAAGCATATTATAAAGCATACTAGCATAATTACACCCGATTAACTGCCTTTGTATTTTTTCTACATAGTGGTGAGATTATTAGTAGTGATGCATCATCCCAGCCAGCTTGTCTTGGGCTCACTTAAAGGGTGCTGCTATGGTGGGGTAAGGAAGATCTAGATTGGACGATCTCTGCTGGATTCTCAAATCTTTGATTTACACTTTCACATGCACTATACCTGTCTGCTTGGCACAAAAGCAAGATATATCTCACACCTGAAGGTGCTAAAGGGAAAATGATCCTTCAACATGTGTTTGTATAAATGTGGCTAATGGCAACATAATATTGATATCAAATTATAGACCTGACATTAAGAAAATGGCACTAATGCTGCCTTGTGTGTTTTCCCCTGTGTCCCCCATGCTCCTTCCTTTACATTTCCTCAAAATTCTCCCTTCATTTTCTTTCCAAAAAGGCAAGTATGCCATGAGGGACCTGGTCCATCGACTTCCAGGAGGTAACAACAGCAACAGCTCAGCAAGCAAGGCCATGTCGGATGACACTGTAACTGCCATTTGCTGCACTCTACATGAAGTCATCACTAAAAATATGGAGAATGCCAAGGCCTTACGGGATGCAGGAGGCATTGAGAAGCTGGTTGGCATTTCCAAGAGTAAAGGAGACAAGTATGTTTTGCAAATCACCTCTTACCTTTTGTAAAATCTTTAATAGATGTAATTAGTACTAAATGGCTTTGTCTTGTCTGGTGAGAACATTAGCTTCATTATTAAGTTTAATCATAAATCATTTGCGTTAGTAACTGTGTCAGATGTAAGAAGACAGGGGAAAAAAAAGTAACCCAGCATCAAAGTCTCTGGCAGGTCTCATTTCTGGCCTGCTGTCACTGGCATATTGCAGCACCCTGAATTATTATTTTTCATCATAATAACTAGCTTGAAACCTTTTGTCAACATCAGATGGTAGCCTGAGACATTAGGCCCCTGTGTCATGGGCGATGTAATAGTAGAGCAATCAGAAGGGCCCCTGGGAAAGGATTTGTGCCTCACATAGGGACTGTTCCTCTCATAGGCTAAGTCTAGACGACAGGCTTCTTTTGGAAGAAGCTTTTCCAGAAGAGATCGTCCGAAAAAACTTCTTCCGAAAGAGTGCATCCACACATAAAAGCGCATCGAAAAAGCGATTTGCTTTTTCGATAGATAGCGTCCACACTGAATGGATGCTATACGCTATCTTGCATTTCAGCTGTGATTACTATGTCCAGCTCTTACTACTTTTAAAATGCCGAGCCGCAAAAGTCCCAGATCTTCTGCCTCTATATTTTAAATGTACTAAGAGCCTTACTACATTTAAAATGCAGAGGTACATCGGTTCGGGACCCGGTGCAAGCTGGAACTGTTTTTTTTTTTTTGAAAGAACACGATTGCATTTTGGATGTAAGTGAAATTTTTTTTTTTTTTTTTTTTTGAAAAACAGCCGTACTCCCACTTGCTTTGGGAATGCAGGATGTGAGGAACATCACCACTTTGCAGGCTGGAGCTTACTCCCCACCAGACAGCAGTTACTCTGGCTGGCAAGGGGGGATGAGGCCATGTGCGTTTCCACTTCCACCCCTAATAAGCCCCTTGCTTGTTAAGAAGTATCTGTAAGACCTTCTGTGTGTTACATTGAATGGCACCGATATATATAGGAGAAGGCTCATAGCTCAGTTTTATGTTCTTTGCAATTGTTATGAATGCATCTCATGTTTTTTTCTAAGTCAGTACATCCTGTTCATGAAGAGATCATTGGTTCTTCTCCTTTTGCTGGGAGTGGTTGCCTAGCATAGCTGGGGTACAAACAAGACACATCAGACTTCCAGAAGTGTAGCTGCTTTGCCTGCAGTGGGACCACGTCAGTTTGAAAAATGGAAGCTTTCACTCTAATGCATAGATCCTTTTATCAGAAGGGGGATGTGTTATCAGCACAGAGGCAGCTGCATCCTCAGGGCTCTAACGTGCCTCTGCACAGCCAATCTTCAGCCTGACAGAGGAATCTACCCACTACACCTGTTACTAAAGCAAGGTGCTGGGCGAGGCAATTAATGCACTGCTGACCCAATTCAATCTTACTCCCTTTTCTTCTATTATTATTCTCTCTCCTTTCATGCTCACCCAATACACTCTCATTATTATATCTCTGTAGGAACTGATAAGAGGAGCAGCATTACTAATTGTGGTGATTCCAGTTGTGGGAGCTTCCCTTGTGCTGCTGACTCACCTTAGTAATAAAGCATATTACAATTGTATTATAAATAAATTGCACATTAAAATAAATTAATTCTTTGACTAGATCAGATTTACTGCTGGTATAAGCACGAGCATCTCCATTTTTCTTCAGTAAAATGTGCCCACTGACATCAATGGGGAATTTGACTCTGAGTTTATCGTTGTACATTAATAAAACTTAAGAAAAATCTACAAAAAATTTGTATTTCTCCACCTGTGTATTTCTCCAACAGAGATCGTTATTACCTACTGACATTGGAGCTGGAGTTTTCAAAGGCACCTAAGAAAATAAACCACCTAACTCCCCTTGATTTCAATGGGATTTGGATGTTCAGTTCTGTTAAGTTCTTGAATATGTCAGTATTACAGTGTTCGATGAGTCAAATATAACCTCTTACTGCAAATCCAGGAAACCTTACCTTTTGAAAGCCATATACTTCTAATAGTCTGGGACATGTTGGCTAATATGTGTTTTCAGAATGCCCTAGTAATAATTGTAGTGCCCTCTATTATAAACTGTTTTAGACCTACTGATGAAAAACAGAATACAAGAACTAGATATGGTTATTTGTATTGATTATGTAGTTGTAGAACAAGAAAATCTATCAGCACATAATACTAGTTCCTAGCCTCAAATAGGAGTTTATACTCTTCTTTCAAAAACTTGAGATTTTATACCATTCTTTCTGTCTTTTTAATTTCTTTCAAAGAGATTCGATAATTTCAAATATTAATATGGGAAAGTATATCTTGCTAACCTGTTACTGAAAAGGATATTTGTATTTGTAGTTAGTGAAGCTACAAATGCAACATTGTGTTAAATTGTGAAGTATGACATCTGTTAATAAGGCCAACTGTTACTAGCCTCAGAAGAACCATTTATTGTTACTTCTAATGTAATCACTGTCGTCTTAGAAAAATCAATATAATAGAATCATAGAATCATAGAATTGGAAGAGACCTCAGAAGATCATCAAATCCAGCCCCCTGCTCTAGGCAGGACCAATTCCAACTAAATCAACCCGGCCAGGGCTTTGTCAAGCCGAGACTTAAACACCTCTAGGGATGGAGACTCCACTACTTCCCTAGGTAACCCATTCCAGTGCTTCACCACCCCCGTAGTGAAATAGTTTTTCCTAATATCCAACCTGGACCTCTCCCACCACAACTTGAGACCATTGCTCCTTGTTCTACCATCTGTCACTACTGAGAACAGCCTCTCTCCATCCTCTTTGGAACCTCCCTTCAGGAAGTTGAAGGCTGCTATCAAATCCCCCCTCACTCTTTGCTTCTGCAGACTACATAGACCCAAGTCCCTCAGCCTCTCCTCATATGCTCCAGTCCCCTAATCATTTTGGTTGCCCTCCGCTGGACCCTCTCCAATGTGTCCACATCCTTTTTGTAGTGGGGGGCCCAGAACTGGACACAATACTCCAGATGTGGCCTCACCAAAGCCGAATAAAGGGGAATAATGACATCTCTGCATCTGCTGGCAATGCTCCTCTTAATGCAACCTAATATGCCATTAGCCTTCTTGGCTACAGGGGCACACTGTTGACTCATATCCAGCTTCTCATCCACTGTAACCCCCAGGTCCTTTTCTGCAGAACTACTACTTAACTAGTTGGTCCCCAGCCTGTAACAATGCTTGGGATTCTTCCGTCCCAAGTGCAGGACTCTACACTTGTCCTTGTTGAACCTCATCAGATTTCTTGTGGCCCAATCCTCCAATTTGTCTAAGTCATTCTGGACCCTATCTCTGCCCTTAAGCATATCTACCTCTTCCCCCAGCTTAGTGTCATCCGCAAACTTGCTGAGGGTGCAATCCATCCCCTCATCCAGATAATTAATAAATATATACTGTGTCTGCTTCCAACAGAAGTCTCCAAAGCTTTAATTCAGTGGATCAAAAACTCTGTTTCATGAGAAGTTAAGTCAAAAACGCTTTAATCTTAAAAGTTGTTACAATAGAATATATAGAATCAAGATAGATGAGGTAACATGTTTTATTGGACCAACTTCTGCTGGTGAGAGAAGTAAGCTTTCAAACTTACACAGGACTTTTTCTTCAGTTCTGGAGACAGTAGCTAGTCCAGCAAAAGATATCTCATCCACCTTCTTTCTCTAATATATTGTGACCAACACAACTTCAACACTACCTATAATAGGAGTTATAGAGATTTTCGTGGATAGATTTCAGTTTGTAATTTTTTACACAATTGTATTCCCTTCCATCTAGATGCTCTTCAGAGAACTGGAACCCACAGAATTGCATTATACTGGACTGATGGAGAAATGTTGCCATATTCAGCATACTTCAATATAAGCCTTAAATATTAATGCATTTTATATTGTGTGCAGCATGTGTTCCTCAAATATGAAGCCAGAGTTCCTTGTGGCTGTTTGTGGGTCCACTTTTGAAGTAGAGGATCTGCAGGGTCCTTCCCTTCCCTTCTCACCCCGTGCTTTCTTCACAGGGATAGGACACAATCACAATAGTGGAAGGACTATCTACTCTAATCTCTGTACAGTTGTGTGGCAGAACTGGCATCTGTGGGATCACACTGGCCAAATATAGTGAATCTCATTGTTCTTAGCCTCTCCTTAGTTAGTCACAGCATGACTGGCACTGTTACTACATTGGTCATTCCCTCTTCCTAGTAACCCACTAGTGGCTAAAGATAGGTAAATAACGAAAACTATGATTCTTGAAAGTATTCATCAAATTCTTATCAACTCATGAATTAGTCACCCAGTTCTGTTTGCAGGATGGATAATAGAGGTGAGAAGTATCAACAAATAATTTACTAGGAAAATATTGTGGAAAATAATTGAATAAATGATGCTATGAACATTATTTTACCATCTCTGCTGGTAATGCAATTGTTACCCTTCTCGTGTGTGCCGAGTAATACATGTTGCCAATACTTGTACCATGTAATTTCTTTTTTGCAGCCCCTTGTGCCCTTTTCATAGGGATACAAAGTGCAAGTCTGACTGTTCCCTAACATCTTCATTTGGGTGCTAATCCCTTGTAATTTTATATTGGGGCTCTGCTGCTTTATGTTGGCTATGGGGAGGAGGATAGACATGTGGTATGGACTTTCTGCATAGTCACATCCTCTCCTGTGTTGTCCTCCTGGCCCTTTTCATTGGATTTAAGACATCTGCTCCTTCTTGTACTGCCTAAACAGAAGGGAACATTTGGCTCTAATTCACTGAAATAATTATTCACATCTCCTGGGGAAAGATTCCAGAAGGAGGAGGAGTCCATCTGAAGTAAAATATGTCTTTCTATATACGTTTAGAGTGTAGTCGTTAATAGGTTACAGTTGTCAATGTTTCAGAACATAAGTCCAAATTTGGATTCCAGATGAATTTCGTTTAGTCACAAAGTATTGATCATTTTATATACGTATGATGTATTATATTTCTGTGTCTTGTCCCCAACCTGTTTCCATCTTTAAACAGTTTTCATCACTTGTCTTGCTCCTCTGTTTCCTCTGACCATCTGGTAGACGGCATTGGTGCAGTGAGTACTCACTCATCTGTTCCTTGAAATGCTTCAGTCTACTATCCCAGGAGGAGGAAACCAAAAACCATGCTTCTGTCTTTCATGCCATTGTACAAAGGGCTGGGCTGCAGCCAAGCCACTTTTCCAGAACCAGTTTGTCCAATTTTGACTTTCTGTCTACCTTCCCCACAATCCACCTTTCAGTTAACGAGTTCAGGAGTTACTCTCCCTCTTGAAAGAATTATCTTGGTCTCGTGTTCGGGGTTTGAACCCAGGCTTCTTACTCACTGTACAGTGAAAGGGCATATTGGTTTTGTTCCTCTTCTAACACTTAGTAATATGCATTTATGAGTGTGTTAGTCAGTCAAAAAAATGTTGATATCCAAACCACTGAATGGAAAGCTCTTACAGTGTCCTGCTAGAGCTGGCAAATAGCAGAACTCTATTTATGAGTTTCAAGCTTTTGTAATTGACTCAAAAATGATCATTAACTGAGCCTGGGATTTAATTCTTTTCTCTCTCTCTCTCTCTTTTTATAATGAAATAGGCACTCACCAAAAGTGGTGAAAGCAGCATCTCAGGTCCTAAATAGCATGTGGCAGTACAGAGATCTGAGAAGTCTCTACAAGAAGGTAAGATTTTCTTCAGATTTCATTATTTTCTGTACAGTTAGCCATTTGGGGGAGCTGGAGGAACATGAGACCAAAATATGATATTTGACCTGTTAGTGGGCCCAAACTTGGAAGACTAAATCACACCTGCCTTAAGTTTAGGGGTTTCAGATCTGGTGGTTTTGCATATTCCCAAGTCTAATTTTATCATCTTATATATAAATGACCCATAACACAGGCATTTTTGTTATTGTATGGGGGAGGCTTTTTGTTAAATGAATTTTAGTTCTTATGAAAAGTGCTGGAGTTGACAACCCTGGAGAATGAAGTCCTCTGTTCACAGAACCAGTACAGTAAGGTCAGCAGTGGTGCAAGCTGCCTCTCCTTTGCCTTTCCTATGAGGAATCTCAATCCTATCCTGGAGAGACCACCATAGGGATGAGAGTGAGATTCCCAGCTTGTTCAATTCCTCATTCTCTGCTAAGACCACCAGTTGCGGTGCCTTCAGTGGTGGTGCTTTTATGACATGGACATTTGCACCCCAAACTGAATTGAGACCTGTTTATTTCACGTTCATTAAACTGACAGCTTTTATGCACTAGCAACACAAACCTGATTCCGAGGCAGTCTAGAAGTGGTAGGCAGTGGCTTCTATTATCATTCTCAGAAGGCTGCCTCCTCTTTTCTGTAAATTATAGCGCTATTACTACAAACAGCATCTTTACAGTTAACTGTTTAAAAATAAACTTGTGTAAATAATAGGTGATGGTCTAGAAAGCTTCTATCACAGAATACTTGTAAATGGAAGTGTGTGTGTGTAAATGTGGCATGTATATGTGCATGCATATGTATATCAACAGTAGCCTCATCACTAGAGTCCTGTATGGATACAAAAATTGTATCCGCATCTGCATCCACAAATGTGATTGCAGATATCTGTGTTGGCATCTGCGGATACAGATACCTGCGGATATAAAGTTATAATGCCTGCAATATTGCAGGGTTCTAGATACAAGATTGTAGCCAGTTCTGCATTTGTATCCATATACATATTTGTATCCATATCTGCAAAAATGAGCCGTGGTTATAAAGTGGATAGCTGCAAATTTGCAGGGCTCTACAAGTCACTTCCTAATACTCAGGATTTCACATGACAAAAATAACTGCCTCAGTTGCCTCTAATTAGCACCTTTCTTTATAGTGTAGGCCAGGGGTCTCCAAACTTTTCTGCCCGAGGGCCGCATTAACTATCAAACAGCAGTTCGGGGGCCGACTACACACTTGAGGTCCAAATAAAAAACAATCAAAACATGGATGTTGTTTTTAATTATTTATTTAATATTATTTTATTCAGTTATTATTTAATAACACATTGATACACTACACATGAACACCTGTATTAGTGTGAATGGTGAAATTGTTTCCTGGATGCCAAAATAGCAGACATTTCTGGCTTTAGAAATCACTGTTTGAAATTGGGGGTGGTTCAATATGTTCAGCCTAAGACACTCACACTTGAAGAGATGTGATCGCTCTCCTATCATGCAGGGAATGAGGTGACAATTTGTAACATAGCCTCATGGAACAAGGGGCATGCATTTTAATGGGAAAAGCTGGTTTGAAAGCAGACACGTTATCACTGTGCCACAGCAACCAGACCGCCTCCTGCAATGGGCACCAGCTCCTCAGCCCCGCCCCCTGAGAAGTAGCCCCTCGCTCCTAGCCCCTGAGAAACCACCGTCGGGTTTCCTCCCCTCCGTCCAGCTTCCCGCGATCCTCTGCCGCCGGGTCTGATCCGGAGCCCGCCTTCAAGACCCCCCTTTTTCGCCCGCCCGGCCAAGTGGCACGCGGAGCCGTCCCTGACCTGGGCTACCTGCTGTCCCGTGCGCGCGCTGGGGCCTCGCGCAGCCGCCTGCGAATCCGTTTCTCCCGCTGACACCAATGCTCGGACTCCAGCGCCTCAGGGATAATCTCACCGGCAAGCGGAAGAAGGCGGGGCCAGACAAAAAGGTCTCCACGGGCCGGATGAGAGGGCCTCGCGGGCCGCATCCGGCCCGCGGGCCGTAGTTTGGAGACCCCTGGTGTAGGCAAAGAGATGAGGCATTTAATTCTACTCCCAGTTGAGGGTGAGGCATATTAATGATGGAGTGTGAAGAAGCTCACAGTGCGACTGCCTATGCATTGTATGGCTGGAAAGAGTTGAGTAATGTGAAATCTTTGCCTCAGTCTGCTCACATGGTGTCTTGGGTTAGAAATGTTATTCTTTTGCACACCTGAGCTTCTGTTTGAGGAAGTTTGGCAAACAGGACTTGTTTGTAAGGCAGGAGTGAAAAGCACCGAGGGTAGGGTCCCGTTGACAAGAGAGCACTTCTGGGATGTGGGAATGAACCAAGTGTCTGCACGGTGTGGGGAGATGATCCTTTGGGGGTAAAGTTTGTTGTTTTTGCAAGGGCTGGCTAGTTTCTTAACCTTTGAACTATTTTGCAGGATTTGCAGGATTCATTGTGTTAATCCCTTCATGAGCTAACCCTGGCAGAGTAAAATGGAGGCCAGTCTCCCCAGCAGTTAATCTAATACCTTTCCCAAATACTAAACTAATTTAACAAAATAATTATTTAGTCTTCATCTGTCTTGACAGCCTGCTACCAAGCACTGCATACTAATTTAGTACAGAAAATGTTTCTCTTAACCAAATGTTTCTAAGAATTATTTTAACTAAAAAATACTACTGTACACTAACAGACAGGTCTGTATTTTTTAATATTTATAAAATTATTACACAATGTAAGCAATTATTTGTATAGAGAACGAATCAAGAAAATCACACTGCTGAAAGGAACTATTTCCTTTGCTTCCTTCACATTAGTACATAGGATACTTAGCTGTATGCTCAGATTGATGCCTATGGCATTTTCTTTCCTTCACAATGTTTAAAAAATGTTATATAAAACAAGAGAATTCCAAAGATCTCTATTACATAAGCAACAATATTTTTCATAAAATATGGATTTAAATAATACAATTATTTTCGCACCAAAGAATCTCTGTAGGCATTAATGCAGGAATCCAGCTTCAGATGGTTGTGTGACATGGTCAGCACTTTGTAGTATCACATCCTGGCAGGGATTTTTCCACACTGCAGTTAAATCCAATTGTGCAGGTGTCTGAAATTCATTAGTATGCCCTAAAAATATCTATCTTGTTATTCCCCGGTAATCACCAGCACATAGAGAGGCTGGAGTAAAAGCATGATTCTGTTTTATGACTTGGGTCAGTTATAAGTCTAACTTTTATTTTAAGGAAATGAAGCAGTATTTGTCCTGCTGCCTGAGGGAAAGAAGGTTCCAAGTTTGATAGTCTAATAGTTTTAGATCAGTACATGTTGACACTATGCTAAGTAGGGGAAAAGAATAATATGAATAGAAGTATTATCACATGCATTGCTGAAGTAAGTATTATTGGTATAACAATAGTCAGTACATGTAACCCACAGATTTTTTTTCATGTGAGAAAAAATATGAAAGCTTACTATGTTTTCATAATACTGCTTTGCACTATGGACTTTATTCAGTGTCTCTGGAAGAACCCAAACGAGAAAGCCCAGCCAGAGATGGAGAGCATAGTATAGTATTGCAAGCTGCCTAGAAATGCTGCTCTGCTGCAGGAACAGAAGCCAGGCAGTGTGGCCCAAGAAGTGTGTTTGACTCAGGACGGTGCACAGCCAGGGCATGCAGAAGGTGTACTGATCCAGCATCTCTCCCAGGCAGTTTCTGCCAGTGAGGACCAAAGACTCCTGGCTGTAAATTGAAGTTCCTTCCAGCTGCTGGAAACCTGATATTGTTATTTGCCCTCTGTCACAGTGCAAGCCTCCTCCAAAGCACAGCTGTTCTAACAGATGTGTAGGGATGCAGACTGTAGCCTCCAACAGGGCTGAAGCAAGCACTTTGTGTTTAACCAGGTCCATGGCATTAATAGGTACATATGGTAGAATTAGGCTAAGAACCTCTCAAAGGACTGGCAAAATTCAGTTTCCAAAAATGAGGGGTCTTCTAATAAAAGTTGTACATGGTACTTTTGGAATGTTCTCCTAAAATAGGAGGCCGCCTGAAAGGGGTGGCTGCTAGCACAAGTTTCACTGTTAGGGTTGCCAGGTGTCCGGTATTCACCCGGACACTCCAGTATTTGCATCCCCTGTATGGTAAAAAAAAACCCAGGAAATAATGGACATGTAAAATGTCCAGTATTTCCTGTTTCCCTGGGACGGAAGCCCAGCGGAGACAATTTTCCCCTGCTGCGTCTAGTAAGGGCAGAAAAGTGAGGCGTGCGGGGCCATTCAAAGGCGCAGTGCTTTTTGTTTCTGTCTCTCTCAACAACTTCTTTGGTCTCCTCCCCCCCTTTTTTTTTTCCTCAATAGAATTTTTTCCCCGGTGGTTTGTTTGTTGGGTTTTTTTTTTTTTTTGGTGGGGCAGAGGGGAAGGTGTTCGGTATTTTTTATTAAACCATCTGAC